GGGGAACAGAGCGAAGAATAACGGCTGTTCAACTCTCCCGTTTCGTTTACTAACGTTCTGTAATGGTAGGGTTCGTGAAAAGAGTGCAAAACTCAGGTATGGAGTATAAAGGTTGAGGTTGAAGTTCTTTAATTTTCTTTTATTTCGTAATGGTTACTGTTTGTTCTTAATTTCTGAAGAACAGTTATTATCTTAATCCTGGATCACCTGAAAGTTCTGTATATGATAGAAATTTTATAAATTAGGATTGATGATTATTTAGAGGTAATACTTGCTTGTTAGGTTGTCAAAAGTAAAGATTTATATTTAAGATGGAGTTTAAATAAAGTTTAAAAATAAATAAATCAGGGCTTTGTGCTTATAAGGTCATAAAAATTGAAGAGAAGCCTATGTCGCTGCTAAGAAAAGTATATCAGTATTCTAAGACTATGAAACAATTTTTAATGATATTAATTCTCATTCACTTGGTTTTCAAAGTGTAAGAAATGGATTTAGCACTACATTCTAGTATGATCAGCAGAGCATTTTTATGTGGAATTTACTGATTTTCTTAAGAGTTTACAGGAGCTGAAATTGATCATCTATGTTTTCAAATATTATAAACTTCTTAAAATTCAACTGCAAGCAATATTTTATACGCGTATTAATGATTATCATTGTGTTTGTGAGCTTGTGAAGAGTATGTATCCAAAATATCAATCATCTTTAACAACCATTATTTTAATTATGGAAAACTTAAATTCTTTTAGCAGTCTCATTGTTTTTCTAAAATAATTTTATTATTTTGGTTAAGTTTATAAAAAGTAACTCCTGACTTTAAAAAATGTCATATGAGGAAATCATAGTACTTTTATTATTATCAGAAAATTGTGTTTTTATTAATTTAATGTGCTTATATCATTAATATTAAGATACGAAATGAAATGGTAACATTAAGTAGATAAATGTGCAGTTGAACATTAAGCTATGTTTTTTATAGCTTTTGTGTGTTTTTGTCTTCATTATGGTACATATTGGATTGAAAGGGGACTGCATATCTATTTTGGCCCGACGACTGCATCTAGCATGTATGATTATGATCACTTAATAAAATGCTGCAGGCTAACTCAAAAATTTGAAGCATTTATTGAGATATTTAAATGGAACTTTATTACAGTTTAAATGCAGGTAACACGATCTGAAAAATTGCGAGACCAAGAAAATCTTTACTGAAGCGAAAAAAAATTCTGACGCTAATCATATTTGTTTCATTTTATCTGCTGTATTAATCTTAATGTAAAATTCAGTTAGGTAACATAATTTATATATTTGAAACGCTGAGCATTATTCTTCTATCATAATTAATTAATACAGGGTGGCGCAGGGAAACGGGAAATTTTGAACTTTACAGTTGGCAGCACTGTAGAGCCGGCAGTTGTTCGAAACTTTGCACAATTGTTGTGAGCGCATTGCCATTTAGTAATCATTATAAAAATGGTGATAGTGCGACTGCCGCGCAGAGATTTCGACAGCATTACCAGCTTGGACATCATGGACGTGTCCCATCTGGGGCATGTGATTACAACGCGGGTGCGTAATTTTGAAGAAACAGTATCTGCCTTGAAAAAGAAACCTCCAGGTGGCATTCCAACGGTACGTACCCCAGAGAACATTGAAGTTGTTAGAGCTGTAATCGAGAGGTCCTCGCCGCTCCGATCAACAGCGTGCATCTTCGCTAGGGATTAAGCGACGATAGGGATTAACGTCAGTTGTTTGGAAGATGCATTATTTCACGTAACGCTGACATAGAATGGCCTGCGAGATCCCCTGATCTTAGTGTGTGCTACTTCTTCCTGTGAGGATATCTTAAAGGCAAGGTGTACGTCCTGCAACAATCCATGAACTGAAGAAGAACATTGAAAAAGAAATCACTGCTATTCCCCAAGATTTGTTACACCGCGCATTTCAGAGTTTTCATAACAGGCTGTTAGAGTGTGAACGCCGAATGGGAACACATCTTTCCGATGTCATCTTTAAAAAGTAAAGAGACACTTTTGGACATTTTGATTGTAAAAACATAAATGGCATGCTGAATACATGCACTTTCGTTAATAAATTACTAGTTTTATGAATTTATTCGTGAAAATGACGTTATTTTGAAATTTCCCGTTTCCCTGCTCCACGCTGTATTATTCCCTGATGATATACTGAAAATTTGTTTTTAAATTTCTGACTTTCCAACTAATAATGGAAAAATATTAAACAAAAGAATATAGCTATATGTCCGAGTATTTAATTTTAACTGACCTTGGAATTATACATATGAAACCTTCCATTAAAACATAATATTTCTTTCTCTCTCCCTTTTTTTTAAGTAACGAATTATTTATTCTGATGTTGAAATCACATTTTACATTTAAGTTCACAAGAGAATTTATTTCATCTGACGAATAATTAGTTCCTCTAATTCCAACAAATCGAATTCTATGTACGGTTAATGAAAGCAAAACTCTTCACAAAGAATTGAAACGATATCCAAAATATATGTGGTTTTCTTCAGTTATTCTGCTTCCTACGTAGGTTCAAGCTCAGTTTTAAGAAAAATACTAGAACTAAATGTTATGGAATTTTCAGCTCAAATTCTGAGCTTTATTATTTTTATTAATCATAATTCAAATTAATACGGCCGATGTGGAGTAGTGGTACTGGGATCATGGCAGCCATTTTTCTCATACGAGTGTATAAGCAGTTTGTAGTTTATTAGCTCTGCTAATTTTTATGCTGTAATTAGTTGTTTAATTATATGAGATAGCAACATAAGATATTCTAGCAAATTCTGTCTTCGGAAGTTGATTCTTGATGAGACGTTTTATGAAAATAATGAGTTTCCTTTAAAAAAATAGCTGAATTTATATTTTTATGTATTTTGGGTGTTAATCCTAAATCGTCTGGATAAGAAATGTGATAGTAGAAAGAACTTCAAAATTTAGTACCAGTATTGCTATAAGGTATCGTTGATACATAAAGAACGCCTGCAGAAGTTTACCGAAATTCTGCCTGCAGAAGTTTACCGAAATTATTTCTGCGTATGATCGCTGTATTTGTAGACAAGTTTGAAATCTGACATCTTCATTTTTACTAGAGAGCTATTAGGAAACTTATGAATTGTTAGATAATAAAAATTCAAATTGAAGTAAAATAAGAACAGTTAAGTACATATGTTCAAAATGAATTAACAGATACACAAGTTTAGCAGTACACTAACGTTTGACAGCGTCGAAGATTGCTGTTATTTATAATATGACCTGAAAAGTAGAAATGTGAGTGTAACATTGTTTATTACATTGTACGGTTTACAATCATCTTTTTGTTGTAAATCCAACCACCGCAATGTTTAACGAGCTTTTCGATAAGGCATCCTTAAATAAATACTTTTAAGGATGGCTGATATATGCGAATTATTTTCTTTCATGTATTTTTGCGTATTAGCTTTTTAATTTTTTTTTAAGTATTTTGTGAGAGAATGAAATAATTGAAACTATTCCGAATAACTATAATTCTGTTAGGCCAGCTTCTGTATATAAATTAATTCTGTAATTATTCTCAATATATTATGCAACAGCATTGGTATGGCTTATATTACGCGGAATAATGGATATGGATAGTTTCGAAATATTAGGTATATTTAAATTACCTTTTAAAATAATTTTGCAGATACAGTAACACACAAACCAGCTAAAACCTTAGACATGTTAAAAATTAAAATTTACGTTTCGAGTACATTTACTAGGGTCCTTAAAATGTAATATAAAATTAGAGTACTGTGAGTCCTCATGCTGAACAAGTGGAACAGAATCAGTATTTCACTAGTACGTTACTAGATATCTATCTGTATGAGCATTATATACTTCTGTGCATTGTGCATCTCTGTATTATAGTATCTCAGTGGTCTCAAACTGGCAAACTGGCGGCCCCTTCAATTATATATTTGTTGTTGATACTGCTCTTATAGATTTAGACATGGTGTAATTTTATTGGCAGTGAATTGCAATATAGTATTTATCAGGAGAATAGAAAAATAGTAGCATTCATTGTAGTGGTCGTTACATTACAACTAAGTGCAGAAACATATTATCTTTTCTGCATGTGTCGAAGAAAAATTTAATGCATAAAAAAAGAAATAGAACAGATTATCATTATTTATTCTCAAGTTTTGTCCAGAAATTTGGAAAGTTTTTATAATTTGTTTATTTTTAGATAATGTTTTAAGTAAGTAATTTAGTGGTTAATTTAACCTATTATGATTTTTTGATATAAATATCAGCCTGAAAATTTAATATTTAGCAGTTCAGTGCGTTTGAATTATAAAGTGCAACAAAAAATTTCTTACAAATAGTAAATAAAACTATAAATTTGAATTTTTCCCCTTTGCGTTATTATTATTATATTGCTTATGTATATTCCGATAATTATTTGGTAATCGAAATTTGAAATCAAGTAAAATTATTTTGAAATTTAATTTTGTTTTGTTAAAAAAAGAGTTCCGACTCTCCGGCTGCTTTCAAGTCATGCAATAGACCCGCATGGAATTTGAGTTTGAGATCACTGTTTTACACTATTAAAAGAGAAAGAAGAAAATACATATGCATATTAAAGTCCAAAAATTTCCTAACCTGTAGAAAAGGAATTTCGGGGCCTTCAATTGACTAGCGCTTCATTCATTGGCTATCTGGGCAGTTAGAAGCTATGATGTGAAGAATGATTAAATGTATTAAAAAAATTACCTTATTCACTGGAGGAAATTAAAAAAAATATTGCAGTTTATGCTTTAAATTTTAATCATTCTATAAATTTCATGCAAGTTTATTAAAGAAGATCTACTATTTTTCGAATGTATGATTTTGAAATTTGGCAATAAATACTTTTCTTCAAAAAATTGTGAGTTGTCTTAGTTATTGTTTGTGTGATTTTCTTCCAAAAGCAGATAGCACAACACAAACATGAAGACTATCTTTAATGCATATTGTTTAAAAAATAATTTATTTTCTTATTAGAATACAAATACTACAATTCTACTATAAAGTTAATGTGATAAAACAAACATAGTCATCAAGTAATAAATAATATTGTTGAAATCAAATGTCTTCAACCTCTACAGTAATAATGCATTGTATCTTTTGAATTTTGAAATGTGCATACTTTTTGAGCGACATTTTTTTTAATTAAAAAAATTTAAATATATTGGAATTTAATAAAAACTCTGTCATTTCATCACAATCCTAATTCTTTATTAATTCTCAAAATTTTGATAATTTCTTTTGTCGCTAATTTTCAAAAAAACAATGGTCAAAATATTGATAATTTCGTTTGTCGCTAATTTTCACAAAGAATAATGATAATTTAGCTAAAAGCTTTTTTATTTCCCATTTGAATTTATCTCCAAATCTATCGGACTAACAACTCTGTTTCTCAAGGCTTTTATTTTCCTTGCTTTTAGTCGTATAGTTTCTTCCCACTTGTATTTGCTTTCATTCTCCTCCCCTCTTTTATTCTATATTTACAGTGCTTTAAATTGAAAAGCAACTTAAAACAAACAACATTATAGTATTAGATTTGTAAATAACAGGGATATGCAATCCATGATTGAATATTTAAGGTGTTTAGTATATTAATGCTCAGTTTTTATAATTAAAATTCATATTAACCTATGAAAACATTTGGTGTAGATTACTTTTATAGTATTGAAGCACTTGATCATCAATTGATATCATCTTTTAACAGTTAGTTTTTGTAACCAACTTTGTTAATTGTTTCTGCAGTTTTGTTTACTTTAGATTCTTTACTGGAATAATCCGCTTAGATTTGCGATAGCTGGAGGAAACCGTATAAAATAAAACATACGAAGTAATACGGAAATATCTCTTTCACTTTAATTTGTTATTCTGATGTCGAAGATTTCTTTTTCTTCTTTTATCTTTACTTGTGTGCTTTAAATGTATAGAAAATTCACGTTTTCTAAAATTAGAATCTTCAATAAAACTAGCTACAATATGTTTATATGAAATTAAGGTCAGAGTTTTCCTGTTTCTTTCTCCCTCCTCCTATGAAATATATTTATTTGTAAATAATTATAACAACAGTGATTTAAACAATGCCGAAGTTTTTTCAGTTATTCAGAATTCCATTGTTTAGTTGTTTATTTCTAAAAAGCACACTTGACGGGTTGTTTCAAATGGATAATCTTGTAACATGATTCTTCTAATAAAATATGTTTTTGATGTAAAAAGGCTAAAATTTTGGTTTTCGGAAATTTTCAATTCCGAGGATAGCAGATGTTAGCTGCTCAAGAGCTGATCATTTCTAAAAGGTGAATACAGCGTTATAGATTGCATTAAGATAGGCACAGTCATCTTCATATATGCCTACCAGCATACGAGTTGCTTCAAAGAGCCAGTGTGAGCCAATGATTTTTAGAGCTTTAAACACTAGTTGCAGGAAAATCCCTAGGCGATGATCGCAACGCGTGCCCAACTGGCATGATTCACTTGTTTGAGAAGGTACCACATATGTCAGAAATTATCATATTCAGTTAAGGTAAATAACCACCAAGGATTTAGACATACATTTAGCTGAGCTTAGCCTCACGTTAGATGTGGCTGTTTGGACCTACTGACGAGAGCTGTGTTTAAACAACATTTATTAGCTAGATTTGTATAATAGCTTATTTTAGTGTTTGCTTTCATAACTTTCCAGTCATTAGGATAATGTTCAGACCAAAGATTGTAAGACAATAAAATATTTTGAGTAACAATTTATATATGCTAAATGATTGAAAAATCTAAACTCAACCTCTCAGACCTTGATTCTAAATGTGACGTTGCAATCTTGTTAACATTCTGGAAAGCTGATTTTATTCATTTGAAAAATCAAGTAAAGTCAGCATATTTTGTTTTATCTCGATTAACCCAAGTATTAATTTTTTTATGCCTAGCAAATTTCTGTGTATTTCCATGATTTTGTTCATAGCTGTTTTATAAACGGCATTTCATCTAAATAGTTTTAACGGTGAATTTTCCTTTTGGCAGATATCTTTATTTGAGTTCATGTCTATACAGCAAATAGTCCTCTAGTTTTGGTGCAATAATATTATCTGTAACTTTGTAACACTAAATGTTTTAATGTAGTTATATATATTTAGTGCTTTTAAAATTAACAGTACCTATTATTGTGCATAATCCCCTTTGTTATCTATGACCTCTTGCCATCTTTCTGGTAGGAGATGAATTCTACTGCGGTAAAATTCCGGCGTTTCGAATCAAAAAAGTCTTGGATGGCAGTTTTCACAGCATCAAGATCATCAAAGATATTCTGACTGAAGCAATTGTTCAACGCACGAAATAAGTGATAGTCACTTGGTGCCAAGTCAGGATATGTTACGGTACATAACCCACTTCTCATCTCCTGTCACAATCCGTGTCAAGAATGGATTTTTTTGTACCGGGAAAGCAAGGAAATGTATGTGGCAATTCGCTCATCCCGTTGATTAGCTGTCTGGTTATGTGGAACCCAACGTAACCAGCCGTCTCTCGACCATTGTCCGGTGTACGTTGAAGGTCTTCGCTAATTCTTGCACGGTTGGGGTTCGGGTTGTTCCTTATGGCTTGGTCAATATCGTCTTCTCCAACGTGTGATGGCCGTCCACTCCTAGCCTGATCTTGGCAGCTTCTGTCTCCTTCCACAAATTTGCGAAACCATCGACAACATGTGCTTTCGTCTACAGCGACTTCCCCATAAACTTGACAAACATTGCGACATGCTGCGGCTGCCGTACTCTTTTTATCGAACTTGTATAACAAATAGTGTCTTGTGTGCTCCTTCTCGTTTTCCATGTTCCGTTTTCCATGTTCTCGTTTTCCATGTTCTCGTTTTCCATGTTTCCATGTTCTGAGATGTTTTTTTAGATGATTATGCGAGACACTATGCATTTATATGTGAGGCATCCACACGTTTGATTGGCCGACAATTTTCGTCGTAACTGTCATGTGTGACGTCAATTCCATTGCAAATTTGGATATCCCAAAAGGGTAGAACTTTAGCACTCTCCCCCGATAACATGAACTTTTTTTTACTGTTTCTCTATGTTGTTGATTTTTGCTAAAATTTTTAGACTGGTCAGGTATTTTTAGTTTCACCGATTGATGTACTTGTTTTATTCTTTGAGAAATATCAAGTCTGCTGTTGGGCTTAGCTTAGTTAATTTACAAGTTTTTACACGTATGCCTATGCAAATACTGTTGTCACTTTTTAAAATATGAGTATAATCTATTTTGTAAATTTAAAGTTTTAAATGTAAATTTTTATTCGGTAGTTTTTCTCGAAAGTTTTTAAAAATTTAGTACTGTTACATGGCTTAATTATAAGGCTCCTCCTTGCACCTCTGGAAATTTGATGCAAAGAAGAGTTGCCTGCATAAGCCAAGAATGATAATTTTTATACTTGTATTTCATTTCTGTTTTACAGCCTAAAAATCTGTTACTTAATGTTAATTCTCTAAAAATATCGCGATTTATTGGCTGTAATTTTTATATATTCTTAAATGAATATGGCATGTTAGATACATGACATCTCTGTGCAGGTTTTTGAAGTACCTGTTATTTCTTACAACAGTAGTTCAGGTGAATTTATTTCTCTTCAAGCAGGAATTCTGCTGTAATTCCGCATGGTTTCCCTGAAAAAAATAATGAAATTTATGATTTAGTTATCGAAATTACTATTGATTTTAAAATGCATACAAAATTATTGAAATCATTATAAATATTCAAACATATACTTGTATTAAAATTAATTCAAATATTCAAACATAAAGCATTTCTGAGTTAAATATAGTTAATACAGTCTTGTAGTCTATGTTATTTAGTAATTTAGTAATCTTATAATTCGGTATTTGCCTACATAATAAAACAAATCATATTTCAAGATTCCCCTCCTCTGTCTTGTGTTTTGCTTGAAAAAATATTATGAGTGAATACTAGTTGCCTCAGTTTGACTGTTTTTCTTCATACATTTCATAAGAAATAAATATTCTAAGATAATGCCGATATTGTACACATATAATACTGAAATCGGTTGTTACAAAAATATTATTTTGTAAATAAATAATAAAGTAATTTCTACTTCTGTGTTATCAGGTCAGGTAAAAAATTGAGAACGAAGAACTCAATTGCATTTTCGTGCTTAATATCTAGAAAACAATGTTTTAAAAAGTTAATTTTCCTTACTTAATTTTTAAGGCAATTTTTCAGATTTTATTTTTTTAAACAAAGTTACAGGAACATGATTTTTGATATTAAAAAATTATTTAACATAGCTAATATTATTTTTTATTTTAATTGAAATACTTAATTTTTTGTTCTTATAAAGAAAGTAAATAATAAGTTTCATAAGCTAAGCTTAATATATTCTTTATAGTAACTTTGTATTACAGTACAGAATATATTTTCTCAAATTTCATATAAAATTCAGCACGATAAATATATACACCTTATTCGCTTCTATAGATGTATAGTCTGATAAAATACATAAACCGTAGGAAAGAAGTTGATATTAATTCGCATATTGTCATCGTAAGGTATTACAAAATTTTAGAGAATGATTGTAGCCTAATTTTTCTGCATCATGAAAACTGGAGGACTATTGTGGAAAGAAATTAAAAGATTAGCATTTCTTGAAATTGCAATAAAATTAAATGTAGAGAAGCCCTTTTTAAAGCAGTAGTTATTAATCATAAATTCATATTTTTTAACTCCATTGCCGTTTTCGATATTTTAGACCACTTTTCTTCAAGTATAGGATGAACCTATCTAAGTCAGCCATACCAGGGATTATGATTGAGAAACGCACATTTACAACATGCAGGAAGGATATATTTTATATGTTGTTAAGGTATAGAAGTTGTTTAATGATCTTTCATTAAAACACTAACAATTGAAATTACCATGAAACATATATTGCCATACGCTTGAACTACTAGTTACTTTTGTAATCAAAATAATAGTTTTGAACAAACTTACGTAAGAGCATTTACAAAATGGAATCAGTGATACACAAAATATTTACTTTATTAGAGAACACCTGACTGTTAAAGTGTTTTTTACCTCTTAGACGATTAATGCTGTGCATGACTTCAGCACTTTCCATCTCTTGAGAAGCAATGCAATCGATGTTCAATATCTGCTTTACTCTCTAATCAATAATATGTTCCGTATCGCAAAATTAGCTAGGTTTATCTGATATATTTATTCAATGAAGGGAAGAAAGTTATTTCTGCAGTCCACTTTGAGGTTATCTTCTGGTTCTTTCTCGGTTTTGGGGCTCTGAAGCTTTCTTTTTGAATTGTAGAAATGTCAAATCCCAAAGGAAATTCATTTTCTATATCTTTTGGCATCTGAAGATTTATAATTTAGGCCTAACCTATACCCAAAGGTGTAAACATTGAATTTACAATGCTCTTCCCTCGTACATGACAACAGTATTGAAATATCAATAGTCTTGCTGCTAGCATACATCAAATACAATGAATTACAATTAATACACACGTACATAAAATATTACTAACTCTTAACTTATATATTGAGCCTTGAGTATAGAGTTGTCGGAAAAGAATACCAGGACATTAAAACGTGTGATTTTAAAAACGTTTAAACACATCGAAATGACCGAAGCATTGAAATGTTGTGAAGCAGTATAAGATTTAATAGAAATCGAAGGATTTATTAGAAACTAAGACGGGAATAAAGTAGTAATTTTATAGAAATGAGGCTAGATTCTAAACCTCTGGACTGAGAAGAGGTATTTCAATTTATTTTCAATTTCTGAGAAACCAATTTCCTCGATCATATTCAGCACTGTATAACAATTCTAGAAGATGCTGTCTGGCTATCATGAATTTATTTTACGGGAATTAGATGATGAAAATAATTTTGACCTCCAACATATTTGCATTAAAGGATTGCAATAGTTATCTTCGTAATTCATCGTATTTGAAACAAGGACGACTGTAGTTTCTGAGTCTGCCATGAAATAAATGAAGCAGATACTGAAATGTAGTGACACAAAATCTTCGGATATTTCCTAACTTTTTAACCTTCAAATCACTTTAATGTTTTTAACATTTGAGTAGTGTATGTATTTATAATTATGGCCTTCTTTTCAATGATTCTGTATATATATAGCATTCATGTATACTTAACTTCTCGTTATGAATGTAGAAAGAGTGTTAGACTATCGTCAGCGATATGAATATCCGTACTCATAGAACAACTTATCATTAAAATTGCTTAAAAAATATAGATATTCACAATATGTAGCTAATGCGTGTAATTTTGTATACATTTTAGACCATTTGTATAGATTTTAATGTTTGAAGTATTTTTACAAAGTAGAATTTTAGAACATTTTTAAAGTATTCATGTACACCAGGGAGCATGTACACCAGGGAGGCAAAGAGGTCTTCTGTCAAGAGCCCCTGCTCCCCACTCCCTGAGACCCTAACTTGCGATGGCGAAGGTCTCCCAGGTTAGATTCTCAGGCCTTGGGTAACAGGTCAGATAAATCATCGAGATCTTCAGTTCTGACAAATCGTCGAAGGTGAGTACACATTTTACTATAATCTAATTGTAAATTTAAAAAAAATGTTACCAAATGATACAGAAGAAAATTATATGGTTCTAAAAAATGATACCAAATGATTCTGTATAATATTAGCTTCTTCGCAGTGTAATATGTAAAAGTTTGCAATAATACATGCTTCAAGAAGAAAGATTCATATTTCATAGTTATGAATCTTTCATAGTTATAATGGGTTTTATGTTGTCTCAGTTCTGTAGAGCTTATTAAATATTATGTTTAATAGCCACCAAGTACATTTATGCTGGTTTTCTTCCATTTATTGTTGTTGTCCGTAAGGCATTCAAAGATTATTTAGTTCTATATTCTTTTGCAGCAGTAAAACATTTTTAACCTCTTACAGGTGCAGTCTCAACCATATAACATCTGAACTTTCTGAATTTTGGAACCTTTTTATAAAAGGTAATGTTAGTTTAATAATTTATTAAATTAGGTAAAAAAGAAAAATGTTTGGCGTAGATTTCGCCTCCTCTGGGAGCAAAAAATTCTGCAGAAGTGTTTTTCGCTCCTGAAGAAGAGGTACATGTGTCTAATCGAACTTAAAATAAATAGCTATTCAAAATTAAGCGTGTTTTTTTGTCTAATTTTAAATTATTAACTAAAATCAAAACATGAGCTTTTAGTGTCTTTATCCCTTATATGGCGACATTTCTGTATCACTGGACAATTTTCGTAGAACTTTTTTTGTAAGCAAACTCATATGCTTTATGATATGATACGAAGATTGTTTCAACCGCGAGTTAGCGTGAAGCTTTTAACTTCATTCCGAACTTAAGCACTGAAATTCACTTGGTCAAAACGTCGTTTTTCCATAGGGATTAATGTAACATGTATTAGTCCGTTTCTTGGATTACAAATAACTGTTTATTTAAACATTACAACAGTACTTTGTGCACATATACACTATGCAGAATCAGTGGAAATAATTCAATTCAAGACAAAAAAAGATAAATGCAATAAAGCTGATAATATAAGGCGAAAACTTAATTTTGCCGTACCGTGGGAAGTAAATTAAAATTAAATAAATGGAAAGGGTTGGATAGAGAAAGGGAAGAGACGTTATTGTTTGGATGAAAAATCGTTTTCCAGTCTAGTCCCAAGTAACTTCCTTTTTGAGACATCTTCTTTTAACATTTTCTTGTCTCTTAGCACTATCGACTTTGCTTGAGATTCACTGGGCATCCGTTTCATTCAAAATTTCTCCAGTGAGATATGTTGTCTACGTTTTGCTATTTTTCTTGAAGCTACACATGGAATGAACTGCAGATGCTTATGCTGCGATTTCTACTCTTTTTCAAGATCTCTGTAAATAAAAAAACTTTCCACTTTTATCTACAGATTTCGCAGATCAAAGAACTAAAATCATCTTCGCTTCGTTTCTATTCTTCCGAAGACATTTCTTCCTCATTCGCATTGTATTCTTACTTTTAAAGCTGTTTCAGTTCTTTCTTTTTAAACTAATTTTTATGGGTCCTTAAGAGCTCCTCAAAGTCCTTAACTCCTTTGCCATGCCGTTGTTACCTAGACGCACATTATCTTATATAACAAAAAGTCATCAGTGTTTTGACATTGATGATTTTTTGTTATATCAGAAGTCTCGAAGTCTTTTGTTTGCAACTCAGTCTAGCCGTAATTTCCACCAGACCGAATTCATAGGTCTACTAATAATATTTCAGGTTTTGTTCATGAGAAGAAAGTAACGAAAATAGTAAAATGGTATTTCCATAAGTTCCTGAGAGTTAATTCGGTGTCAGAGAATACACCTTTGGAAACCCTTTAATGCCAGTTTGGGCGTTCTTAACTGAAGACAGTATTCCTCACCCAAGACATTCTTCAATGATGTTCATGTTCAATGTTCGTGAACCGATTTACTTGTGAAGAAAAGCACTTGTGACTCCGAGGTTCTAGTGTACTGTTGTAAAAGCCCCTCCTGTGAATACATTTCTTATCCCTTATTTATGACCCATTGAACTACGAACTGGATCAATAATGTCATAATTTGTCAAGGAAAATATTAGAAAATAATTTCTCTGTCAGCTGAAT